CGGTTTACAAAGATTTCTTGTACGAGCCTTCCAATAGGAGCTTTTTTTTGTGTCGATAAAGCAATCTTAAACAATTTTCGCACTTCGTGTACAACATGTCTAACCTAGTTTCATGTCAATGCAGAAACAGCGCGCTCTTATAAAATTCTCTAGATTGCAACGTTCAAAATTGGTATCGGTCCAGAATGGCGCGTTTTCGTTTAAGGCGCTGAGCGATATCGCGTAGGGCAGGCGTGCGTGACTGCGATGGCAGCCTCGGTTGCCATGGGCGCTGCCCGAGAATCGGTTCTCGTTTAAACTATATTAATAACGATTGCCGAGGGAATAGGCTTAGCCTATGCAGATAAATGCGAACCCTGTTGACGACTACAAGATTGAGAAATAAGACAATTTGTAAGTATTTCGAATATCCAATTTGTTCGATATTGCCATATTTTATGATGCCAACATTTTTAACATTTGCTTATTATTAATTTGACAATATTTAGAAAAATATAGTACGAACATACAGAAAGATGACAGACATGTTTTTATTTGTGTTATAAATATATTTTTTGTTACATTCTATATAATAATATCAAGGCTTATATGATGCATGCACTCTTCTCAGTCACCGCTAGAAAATGATGGCGTCTATTTAAGTGTATATAAGTCGATACAAGCCGTAAAATAGTTTTATGTACAGACTATTACTGTCTTTATCTATACAGATAAATAAAATTGGAGTGTCTGTTTGTTATATTAAAATAACCGCTTTTTACTAAATGCATATGGATGTATACACGGTACATATATCAAAATAACATTTTTTTACAATTTTTGTCTGTTTGTCTGTTTAACTGGCAGAAAGCTGATGTAATAAGGAGTAACTTAGACTACTTTTATTTTAGTTTTTTTTTTATTTTAAATTCCACGAGGATGAAGTCGCGGGCGCAGCTAGTAAATAAATACAAATCTAATGGTTTTTTTTGTTAAAGCTACAGCGTGCAGACCGTGAGGTAGTCGCTCACAACTCTAATAGATAGATAGAACTCTAACAGATAATGTGACACGAAAAAAATTATGTTAAGTTAAAGTAGATACTTCGCTTACATTCGCCGAACGATGTGGCGCATTTGCATTTCCGTTCGCTTGTAGGCAGTGATTAAGTATTACGATATTCGTAACTAGAGCCTAGGCGCATGGGCTTGATATATCGATGAATATTTTTTTCTTGCTTTATAAGATCTGTTAAGGTGTGGATTTGTTGGAACACTATATATTTCAGTAAACATTTCAAATAGATAAAACAAACTGGATGGTTTATGTCGTCTATTTAACGTAATTTGTTAAATATTAACAATGTTAACATTTAACAATAGTGTTAATATTGTTAAATAAAAAGTTAAAGTCCAAGTTTCATTTGTTTGTTAATACTTTTATTGTGATTTAATATTTAAAAGAAGTTTTATTATATTTAAAAGTTCTAATGTTTAATGAAAACATTATGAAGTCGATAGTTTAATAAAATTCAAAGAAATGTTTAAAATAAACATCAGCCGCTGAGTGTCTGGTGTGCAATATATAACTATTACTGACTATTTATAATTTTTAGATATCTACTTTACTGTCTATACGCGTAATTTCATGTTTAGTTTAGATTTTGACCTGCTACTCCATCTTTCATTCTTGGTCTGTGTCTAGAGACAAATAGGTTTTGCACTTATGGTTCTTTTTACTGTAAAATTACAACTAAAAGTCCGAGTTTACAACTTACCTTCCTTCAAAGTTAGTAAGTTCTCTGTTAAATACCATAACGATTTCATGCAATCACCGCGTATACAATTCTCGGACTTAAGATTGATTTTGGTTTTTAACAAATTGGAGAGAAGCTTCGGGTCCGTGCAATCAAGCTCTATTTATTTTTATGGTCTTAATTCAGTTATTTTTATTGTCACGTAATTAGATGTCTTTCCACTTGATTGTGAGTGGTAATGTATTCGTTGGTGGTAATTGCATTTGTTCGGTAGCTCGTATTTTACTCAAATACTAACTAGTATTATCTGGGATGACAACACCCGATGGATAGTAGTAATGTAATCTTAGGTGGTAAACGCACTGGCATAGTGAAGCCTATTACTTTTTGCCCCGAAGGCACACTTATCCGGTGAAGGAGCATGCATAGACGTATGTATCGATCATTTCTTGCATTCGGGCATTAGGTAATGTTTTCCATCCCTCAGGGTAATCTTCATGATAAGTCTGATAGATTAAATTTATAAACGTGGGATTGGCGCGGTGTGGATGTCAGATGCATTGGTTGAATTCGCAAATACGAATCCTTGTAGTGACGAAAAAATTTTGTGACTGTTTCTCTCAACATTTTTAAATGAAATATGCAAATGCTAGCACTAAAAATGTATAATTAAATTGTAATAGCAAAGGCTAAATAGCAATTACAAAGCAATCTCTAGTAATCAAATACAGTACCCGGAGAACCGAGCTTTGCTCGGTTTGTTTTTTTTGGTAAATCGTGTATTTTGGAAATTACATTTAGATACAAATTACTGAGTAATGAAATATGCATAATGTTTTTCGATCTTACCGAGGTAATAATAAAAAAATATGAACTGATGTTTTTCACAAAACAAAGAACTTTAAAAAAAAGGGAAGAAAATAACATATCGACAAAAAAATTAAAAATAAAGAAAGCAATGATCTGGAATCGAAAAAAAATACAAAAATAGATAATAGGTCCTCCGGGTACTATATACATATATATATACAAGAATTGCTCGTTTAAAGGATAAGAGAGATATACATTGTATAAATATGATTTGAGGAAGTTGATTGCTGTAAAAAAATCACATTATAATATAACTACCATTGCTACAAACGAAGTAAAAGCAAAGTAGACAAGGCGTCAATTTTCGCGCGTGACGATGTCGACTGCTTAGCTTAATGGCTAGAGCGTCTGGACGCGTTGTCCGAATGGCGCAGGATTGAATTCTGGCAGTGGTTAAAACATTTAGCGACAGTTTTATCTAGACATTTTTACGTGCGATTGGTATAAAACAACATACGTTAAAGTAAAAATTTCATTCTATTAATTATTTGTGCCTAACAATCATAAAATTAATTGTTTCATCTGACATAGACCATCTTTTTTCCATTTTCATTCATCGTAAACTAACAGTAGCCGGGTCGGCGTAGATAATTAAAACTAGAATCCTACTCAGGCGAAGTAAAAATATAAAAAGTAATAATATAATCAACACATAAATAATTTTTTTCTTGTCGTGCTTAAACATTCCCGTCCCTTAACCTTAAATGTAATGTTGTTGTCTGTACATGACTCACTGCTTAATAGATTAAATGGAGCGCATTAATCCATGTAGCCGCGCGGCGTCGCAGCATGTACGCCTTTTATTAGCTGAATAAGTGTTCCAATTGCTGTCATTGTTCTTTCGGTGAACATATGCAATTGTGTAATGCGTTGGACTTGTTTGGCTCTTTCATTCGGATGTCTTTGTTGGGTACGTTATCTAGAGAATGCTTTTGAAATACTAAAGGAATTGTAAATACTGTTCCTTTAGTTTGTTTGAGGTCAAACTAACAGAAACTAGCGTTTTTATAATAGAGATCTTTTGTAGAGGTTTTCTATTTCGGGATTAACATATGAGCGGCGTAGTGACGTAGTACTTTTGCGTTTCGTTCGGAGAGTGGGCATCTCCCCCGATACAAAAAAAAAAAGGTGTCGGTGGTGTTTAGGGGATGACGGGCGGTGGAAATCACTTAACATCAGGTGAACTGCCTGCCCGTTTGCTAACTTTTCACATTAAAAAATAAAAAACGGCCCGCTAACTTGCCATCGTTTTGATAAGCTAAGTTTTCGTCTATAGAAGACTTAATCGTCATAGTTAAGTATGTTTTACTTTTTTTGAATGAAAGGTAAAAAAAGTGAAAGAAAAAAGTGTTGGTTCTTAACTAGACAGGTCCATGTGTATGGTATGTAACAACAGTAGATTTTGACTTTCTTAAGATTTTTAAACAAATGTTTTTGATTGTAACTGTGAAAAAAAAAAATCGTTTCATTGAAGAATAGGAGATATGATGATTAATGTACTTTCAAAATGGTTAAAGTTCGAGACGTCGTGATAACACACCTGTCCTCTTGTTAGATAGAACTAGTTCTTGCGAACCTTATTGCACAAATATTCTACGAAAGTATGTGGTATTAGAAGGGTTACGTTTTCGCAACAGTCCATTTCCTGAGGCTTATGTCAATTGCTTTGGCTCGCGAAGCAATTTATAATGTGCTGGTATATTGTGGCGAAAACCTTTAAGTTTTAAGTTACCACTATAGATAGCGTATTTTAAAAGTATCTACTTAAACTAAGATAACAGATAACTAATCGATAGCAATTTATTCGAAACACTTTAGATAAATTTTGCTAGTCTTAACTTGTTTTTTTATCTTTTTTGATACATTCACATATGAATTTATGGCCATATGAATCACTAAGTAGTATTAATAGCGTTAAGAGTCACCGTAGGAGTTCACATTTATATATCATTTTAGTGAATTTAAAGCAAATTAAACTTTAAATCTTTAATTTACAAAGAAAGTGAAGTTGACACAAACATTTGGCTTCGGTTTCCCGAGCGTATACTCGTCTCTCACGCGGAACTTAAGCATCGCTCCTACCACCGTCGTATTTGCAATTTAGGAAGGTAAAAAGTCCTCCAAGAACTGAATAGTAGAATCGTGTAGTTGGCTTAGTTTAGGTAATGTTTTAAAGTGATAATGATAAAAGGTTTCATTAACCTTTTATCATCATCATCATCGTCCTGTTCTTATCACACGCGCACGCACACTAATACTTTTCCCGTGTGGGAATCGAACCCGCGAGCCCCGCCGCCGAAGCCGTTTGCCTAGCAACATCGACACAGAGTAATACAGACCTGTATATACAAATCATTCCGACGAGATTATACTGAGTGTACTTGAACGTTCGCAGACGCGGCGCCGAGTGCTTTGAGCGGAGCGGCAGTGGGTGTGCCGCCTTCTTGGGAACCTTTCTACTGCGTGCTGCAGCAAGACCGACGCACTCTTACCGCCTACACCAGCGAGGAGCTTGCTGTAAGTATCCCTCATCTAGCTAGTAACATAGCCACTACCACATAGCCCAGTATATGAAGTAATTTTGATATATTTCCATTAATACCATCAATTGTATGTTAAAACAATGTTTCAAAGTGTACTTTATATGGTACTACATAAGTTAACTTGGTGAATAATTTAGATACGTATCAATACCGAAAATGTTTTATTTTCATGAATTTAATAATTTTAACGAATTAAAATGAGTAAAGAAATGTTTTTTTTAATCTGGGAAAGATTATGACTTATAAGATATTTATAAATTTATTAAAAATGTAATCTTCTAGGTTCTTGTTGAGATACAATGTGTGCGTACAAAATAATATATAACAACCGGAATAGAAGCATTTCGTAAAAAAATGTTTCTTTAATTTTCCTATTTTAATATAAATTTCATTAGAGCGTATCTCTTCTTTTTTTATATCTGCGTTCTACGAGTTTGGTGCTTGCATTTTACACCGCGTTTTCAAACCGCCTTCGCTGCGAATACTTATTTCGATGTCGGATTTGCGATAGGATTGTGCGGTTACGTTCTCTAGACCCTTTTGCGTGCATTCTTCTGCCTTTATACCAAGTCCGATATAGAAAATTGATGCAATTTATTGGTGAATTGTTTGGACCATCATATATTATATTACTTAAAATAATATCTATCTTCGTTTCAAAAAAATTAATCACATGTTATTTATTATTTAACATTTTTTTAATTCAACCATAGGTCCATAAAGTGCACTCAGACGTCCATTAGCGCTTAGATAGTATTACTTATATAGTTGGAGTCTTTAAATAAGTTATTCTGAATGAACCTCGAAAATATCTAACATAACAATAAAAAAAGTCAAGCTATTAAAGTTACTTACAGCGGCCGCATGATTCGAATAAGTGGAACTATTTATAGTAATTTTGAATTCGGAATCGATTTAAAAGAAATAAATATGAAGCTATAATCGCTAAACGATGGCTCCGCGGCGCATTTGCCAAGGCGTTGGCTTCGGCGTCGCGGGTCGTGGGTTCGTTTCCCGCACGGGGCAAATATTTTTGTGACCCACAGATAATTGTTTCGCATCTGGGTGTTTGTCCACGTGAAATATATGTTCGTAAAACGTCCTTACAACACAGGATAATGTTACTCTATGTGTAATCTGTCGTATCGCGCAACACAAACAGCTAGCTGGCTGACATTTATACCGAAATTATAAACAAGGTCCTGGTACGGTGGCGAATTGGTACGGTTGCGCGAACTCCGATTCACCTCGCAAATCAATTTAATTGCGCGCTTTTTGTGACACGAACGAGGACACGTGCGTTTTGGTCCGCTCATTAAAATTAAATCGCTTTCGTTACGGAGAAAAAAAAAAGCCGGACGTGGGCGCGTTGCAAAATATGATGTCGATAGAGCGTGAACTTTTCGTATGTTCCAGCGTCGGCGTTGTAGGCAATCCTGAAACACCCTCGTGACGCGCGTTTACGCGAATGGTTTCGAAACCCCATTGGGCTCTGTCGATATGCCTTTGGCGCCGTTCGTAACGATGTCGTCTGTTTGTCTGGTTGTTAGTTCCGCTTTCCTAAGCCCGTTAATGATTTAACGGTGTCGCGTCCACAACCAACTGAAATGGTTAATGCGCTTTTTATTTTTTTCACCAATTTCCTTAACGCCGTTGTGGTATGACCATGTTCAATTTAGAACTGTGAAGAGATCGTTTTCTATAGCTATCGTAAAATGTAATTATATAAAGTAAGAAATGATCTTGAAGTAATTGAGTAAACCTGTTTTATTTAAAAAAATTACGTCGTTTAGTAAATGTTAATTTTATTAGCAGAGAAAGATTGCGTTTTTACTTTTTCAATTGATTTATTAAAGTTATTTAATTCTGTAATAGAAGATTTAACGTTGAACATCTATAAAAGTTTTTTCAGTATTCGGAATAACATCGATGTTACGAGTACTCCTCGGATTATCCGTCTCGGCGCGGGACCTCGTGCTAATGGGGTGCGGCCGTTAAAGTCGTGAGCGTGTTATTACAACGTTGATGCAGTATAATGCACGTTAATTACACATGTAGTAATGTTCCGTGTGTAAGCTTTTGAAAAATTGAAATGAGCATCTCACTTTTTTAAGGCGTTTTAATTTTATTTTTATAGGGTTATCGAAGTCGAGTTTACATACATGATTCTGTAAATTCTGTACGGCCACACAATAGCTGCCTCTTGTACTGGACAATTTCGTCCGGGGCAATACCGCGACCTCTCAGTAGACCAGCGTGAATTAGTATTGTTATGCCGTTACATCTCGTCCGTTGTGTGAAGTATTTTGGGACCACTGTTTTTTAAGTGTTGTCGACTCCGGACATCTCAGTTATAATTACTGTCCGTGGTCGCCGGTAAACCTTATTATTAGGCCAGCGTCTTCTTGTTTGCCATCTTCCATCATAAAAGATTTGTGGATAGAAATTTAAGCTAATAATCCGATGGTAATTATTCGTACGTTCAATGTGTTCCATGTCAATCGCAGGCGTCAGCGGAAAATGAGGTTCAAGGAACGTACTGACATAAAGCGAGTGTTTTAAAGTCGGGCCCTTTCATTGCGTTTCAACTGATAAAGGTGAAAACTCGACGGAAGAGCTGGTGCTTAGGAACCGGTTGAGCCCAATCGCGGCACTGGTGAAAGTGTACTTCTATGTCGGACATGCGTGCGGTCGCTCTAGGCATTGCTCGGTGTCGGAGTTCTGATTATCGTCATTACATTAATTACGGCCGAATGGAAGCAGGTGAGTTTCGTAACTGCAACTGGTTCACGGTAAACACTAGTTCTGCGCGGTTGTTCTTCGTTCAACACACTGTTCAATGTAGGTCGCTGGCTGGTCCGTTCATTGGAATAAATGTTTTTGTGATCCGTCAGTCTGAACTTCGGTTAAGCCCGGTTATAAGCAGGTTGAGGTATGGCGTTTAAAAAATTTGATAAAATTGTTCCAGTTTTGGTGTTACAATCCAATGCAATCCAAAATATGCATAATTTGATACATGCAAATCGTTCATGTAATTTTATTTGGTCATTTTTCTTTGACTAAGATCATGTCATTTGACAAGTCAAAGAAAGAAAAGAAGAAGAAATATTTCACCGTATAAAGAAAAATACGAGAATAGTTAATTTTTAATTATCGTGGAGGATAATTAAGTTCTAACGAAATCTCTTGGCTACTTCAATATTTTTTCTATTAATTATGAGTAATTTTAAGATACATTAATTTATAAAGTTTAATGAGAATTATTTTATAATACCGATTTGTGACTTACAGCGCGTAAATCAACGCATGAATCTCGTTTATAGTCGCATAACTGTGCAACTGTATCGAAATATCTAAATTTGCATTCATAAACGCAGCCGATATCGTATTCCAATAACTGAAGGTAATGCCAATACTCGGTGGCCAGAAGGTTACGTGATACATAATTGAAGGAATGGAATATAACGTTCAAAATAACCGTGCACAGGGTCTTCCAGCTGGGGCGTGAATTGACCAACTAAAGGCCGGCTCGGTGGGATATTTCTATTCATGGACGGGCTATGATTACTTTTTTTATGTGAGAAGGTGGCGAGCGAACTGTTGGTTCACCTGATGTTAATTGATAACTGCCGCCCATGATAATTTGCAACACGTTTTAATAAAGTGGGCCCAAGCTACCTCACTTCCAGACGAAACGAAGTAGTGTAACACGTCTACTCCACGGCTGTCTTCTGTGAGGTTGTGGTACTTACGCGGACGGACCTGCCGATTCGTGTAATATTCATGTAATATCCTACCACAGTTAAAACTGAAATAGAAACGTGTAGCAATATCTTGTCTCATTGACGTTCTTGTGACGGAGAGCTCTTTCGACTTTTTTAGTTCCCAATATGAGGACTTCACGAGTGAGTTGATGCTCATTAACACGCAGCTGTAACCAAACAACTTCAAGAACAAAACTTGAAACTTAAAAGAGCAGAGCAAAAAAATTAAAATCTTGGAACAATTGTTACAATTATTGTACTACAACTAGGAGATATGTGCAATGCAAAATCAATCAAAAATCAAAAAAATATTGATTCAAGGAAAGCTTTCTTACATTTCTTTATATTCGTAATGATTCTGAATGTCACCGTTTTTTTGGCAAGAATTATCTCCGAAAATACATCTGCTATAGACCAGAATATATTATACAAGAAATTGAATAATTCAAATATTATATTCTCATCTTTTATTCAATATTATTTAACTCGCAAAGTTTTTTGATACTATTGAATATATTCGCCTTTGTTCTCATGTTTAGCAAAATTGCTCTAACAAGCGTTGCAGCTACCGTACTTCGAAACAGGATGTCTTTGTAAATTGAGGACGGAAGCATCAAGTGATTGTTCCGCTTAGGAAGATGAATGATGTTTTAACCAGTATGCATTCAAGACTATGGGTCGATGTAAATTTACAACACGTTTCTTCCGCAAAAAGCTCACGTGCACGTGCTCCAAATTTAATTTTAGCCGATTGAAAAATTACACTTTGTGATGTAAATAGTGTACAAGTTTGATAGCGTATCGAAAAATGAATTAAACTTTGAATGTAAGTGTTGCTATGACAACAGCCCACTCAAATAAAACTAACAAAATAAAAATAAGAAATATTTTACTATTCTCAGCTTTGTAGTATTTCATATCGCGGTCATGTTACTTTTTATAAGTAGATATGTTATCCTCAAATCTTCCTATAGAAATTGAAATTGTATTAATATTTTTTTTTTATTGTTACACGCAATCACAGTCGTTTCCGGGATTCTATGTGGACCGAAAGGTAAGACACGTTTGTATGTGTTGTGTTGTTGTTTTCGTGTGTTCATTTTTATTATCTCCCTTGTTACACGATTATACATCCCGGAAATCGCCTACACTGCAACCACCCAGCTACAACATTCCACATTCCATTCTCCAAGGATTGCTTATTCCGTGCTACGTGCCGTCGCCCGTAATCCCACTGATGCGAAGTGGTTGCGCAACACAGGTGTTGGACACCGGGACCGTCCGAAGCATCGCAGCGAGCGTCACTCTTGTTTCACACTTCGAGCAACCGTCACCTCACTTAGAAATAGTTAACTGGGTAATTTTTATGTAATAAATAAGTATTTTTAAATTTAAATTTGCATTTTTTTGCATCCTCCGGCCGTAGCCTTCGTAATTGGCGCAGTCGGTAGGATAGACAATTAGAGTCAGTGAATCGATCACGGGCGTTGGCTATCCGAACCTACAAGAGCTGCTGCCGAGAGGAGTTTCCAGACATCGAAACGAGCAGAGAAGTGCAAATGTATCGGTGAGTACCTAGATCTTACTAGAGTTGCTTTCCTTTTGTTTCCTTTACTTATCCAAGATTTTTCATCGAAGAAATTCACGGACCCTTAGGTTAGGTAGCACACGTAGAAGTTTGCAGCTAGATTGTAATAGAAATTTAAATATACTCATAGAAGATAGCGAATTACTGGATTGCGATTACGAAACATTAGCATCAGACTCCGTCAAAATGAGCGATGCACTTATAGATCAGATCTACAAAGCCCTTAGACTACTTCCCGAGTTCGATGGAAATCCAAACGTCCTCACTCGTTTTATTAACTTATGTGACCAACTAGTGGAACAATATGTGAGGACCGATGCCAATTTTTCTTTAAGTAACTTAGCTTTATTAAATGGGATCCTAAACAAAGTAACAGGTCCCGCGGCACGTACTATCAATTCAAACGGCATCCCTGAGACCTGGATCGGGATACGGAACGCTTTAATTAACAATTTCGCAGATCAACGCGATGAGACCTCACTTTATAACGATTTGGCACTCCTGACCCAAAGCTCTGCTACACCTCAGGAATTTTACGAAAAGTGTCAAAACCTATTTAGTATTATAATGACGTATATTAGTTTGCACGAGACTGTACCGAGTACAATAGAATCGAAACGACAATTGTACAAAAAGTTGACACTTCAGGCCTACCTTCGCGGCCTTCGCGAACCCTTAGGCTCTCGTATACGGTGTATGCGACCCGATACGATAGAGAAAGCGTTAGAATTTGTTCACGAAGAAATGAATATTTTATATATGCAGCAACGTAACGATCACCTGCCTGAAAGAAAGTTGCCGTCTACGTCTTCTTTTAATTTACAGAAACCCGCTTTTAATTCACAACTTATGCCGTCACCGCCCCCGCGAGCTTTTACGTTTCCTCATACAGTGTATTATCCCTCTAAATCAATGAATGTACAGCCACCGAAAGCAATGCCAGGCTGGAGACCCCAAATGCCGCGATTCAACGGTCCGACACGAACTCAACAAATGTTCAGTGCACCCCCTCCAAACTATAGGCCCCAGAGTAACGTTTTTTTTAAATTACCTCAAAGACCAGGGTTTCAAACCAGTAATAATACAGGCTCTCAGCCTATGAGTGGTGTGAGCCACTATGTAGCAAAACCTTTTCCGAATAGAACACTGACAGGACATGACTGGAGTAGGCACGGCAATCCACCCCCATCTAACTATTTCAAGACGCGAGAAATGAACTTTAACGAACTATATGATCAGCCGTACAACTATAACGACCCTTATAATGACTATAATGACAATTATAATTATACCGACTACTGCGACCCGGTTTACCCCGAACATTCATACGACCCGTTATACGAGCAACATCCCGAATATGCCCCAGTACAAATAGAAGAAACACAAGATGAGGGCCCATCCGAAAACCAGGATTTTCAGATGGCTCCAAAATCAGAAAAACCAAAATAGAGATAAACTTGCAGGCACAGAGACAACTACCTTATATTGAAATAGCAGATCCGCCCTGAAAATTACTAATCGACACGGGTGCTAACCAGTCTTTTATAAGCCCCGAAGCGGTCGAAAAATTTTTTCCGCACATACCTTGTAATTATGATCCTTTCGAGGTAACGAACATCCATGCAACTACCCGAAATGACTACTCTATTACATTACCGTGTTTCCCCGAGTTCAATGAAAGTACTGAAATAACCCTTTTCATTTATAAATTTCACGACTTCTTTGACGGTTTAATTGGTTACGATTTGTTAGAAAAATTAGAATCAACCATAGATCTTAAAAATAAAGCCTTAATTACACAGAAATCTATAAACCCTTTGCGTATGTATGATTCCCGGAACTGTAATTTGTATGAGAGAATTATACCGGCCAATACATCGCAAATGATTCGAGTCCCCATAAACTTTCATGACGGAGACGTATTAATAACAGAACAGGCTATTTCTAACTGTACTATACGTGATTGCGTTACTACAGTAAATAATAATCGCGGTATTGTTGAAGTTATCAATCCAACACGGCATGACGTAGTATTCTCTATGGACCGTCCTATTAGTGCAGAACTTTTTAATGCCCACTGTGCACGTACTGAAAAACCAGTGGATCGAGTTACCGAGGTACTCTCTCTCGTTTACGTACTGACCACCTAAATCCCGAAGAACGAGCCAACCTAGAATCTCTCTGTGCTCAATACGCTGATGTATTTTATATTGAAGGTGAACCTCTCACTTTCACCAACAAAATTAAACACAGTATTCGCACAACTGATGAAGTACCTGTCTACACTAAAACTTATAGATACCCTTTCGTTCACAGACAGGAAGTTCAGGAACAAATTTCGAAAATGTTAAATCAGGGAATAATTCGTCCGTCTCAATCAGCATGGAGCTCCCCCATTTGGGTAGTTCAAAAAAAAGCTGATGCGTCAGGAAAAGTCAAGTGGCGTATCGTTGTTGACTTTAGGAAAGTTAATGAGAAAACCATAGACGACAAATACCCCATCCCTAACATCAGTGACGTATTAGATAAGCTTGGCAACTGCCACTATTTCACGACGTTAGATCTCGCCAGCGGATTTTATTAGGTAGAAATGAATCCAGAGGACGTCCATAAAACGGCTTTCAATGTAGAGCATGGGCACTTCGAATTTCTAAGAATGCCCATGGGTCTTAAGAACTCGCCGTCTACCTTCCAACGAGTTATGGATAATGTTCTTAGGGACCTTCAAAATGTCGTATGCCTTGTATACCTAGATGACATCATCGTATTCAGCGTATCACTACAAGAACATATGGTCAATCTAAAAAAAGTTTTTAACAGACTTAGGGAATCGAACTTCAAAATCCAAATGGATAAATCTGAATTTCTAAAGCTAGAAACCGCTTACCTAGGTCACATAATAAGTAAAGATGGTATAAAACCAAATCCGGATAAAATAACTGCCATTCGAAAATTTCCCTTGCCAAAGACTGCCACCGAGATAAAGCGCTTTCTTGGATTGCTAGGCTATTATAGAAAGTTCATCCCAGACTTCGCTCGGATAACAAAGCCCATGACACAATGCCTGAAAAAAGGTTCAAAAATAACATATAATGACACAAACTATATTAACTGCTTTGAAAAATGTAAACTTTTATTGACGAATGACCCGATACTACACTATCCTGACTTCACCAAGGACTTCATACCGACGACTGACGCATCTAATTTTGCCATAGGCGCTGTTCTCTCACAAGGCACTATAGGTAGTGACAAACCGATTGCTTATGCATCCAGAACCTTGAATACAAGTGAAACAAATTATAGCACCATAGAAAAAGAGCTTTTAGCCATTGTCTGGGCCACAAAAGTGTTTCCGCCCTTATTTGTTTGGAAGGAAGTTCAAAATTGTTACAGACCACAAACCTCTTGTTTTATCCCGCATAGAAATTAACAACGAAGATATTAGCTCCATTGCCGTCAATCCATCTGAAAGGCCTACATCCAATACGAGCTCTACCTTGTCAGCCCACTCGAGCACTACCTTGTCAGCCCACACAAGCGCCGAAAATCCAATTTTAGAAATTCCCATCTCAGATGAACCGATTAATAAGTTCAGTAGACAGATTTGTTTTATGCTAGTAGGTGACATCAAAAAACGACCAACAGTGACAAAGTCCTTTGAAACTCATACAAAAGTAACCATTCAACTTAGTGAATCAAACCTTGTTAATGACGTTATCAACGCTGTAAAAGAGTTCATAAATCCCAAGGTTAAGACGGGAATAATAATTCACCCCCCTCTAGCCATGTATCAAATAATACCAATAATACAAGACAACTTCAAAAGCTCCTCAATGAATCTTGTCCTAACTAAGATCGAGCTAGAAAACGTTCAGGAATATTTACGCCAGCAGGAGATTATACAAAAATACCACGAAGGAAAAAACGAACCACCGCGGTATTACCGAATGCTATTTAGCTCTATCTTCCAAGTACTATTGGCCGAAAATGAGAGAATGTATTACAAAATACATAAACGAATGTAGTGTTTGCGGCCAAGCGAAATACGATCGAAATCCTATAAAACAAAGATTTCTAATCGTGCCACCCCCGTCAAAACCATTTGAAATAGTTCACCTTGACCTTTTCACAACAGAGAATGAGAAATACCTTACAATAGTAGATGCTTTCTCTAAGTATGCCCAAGCGTATCATCTTAGGGACGGTACGGCTCTTAGCGTTGTTCAAGCTCTTTTAATATTCTGTACTCACCATGGAGTTCCAATTACTTTAGTCACCGATCAAGGCCCCGAATTTACCAACCAAATATTCGTTGAATTTACCCGACTTCACAAGATCCAACACCATAAAACCCTAGCTAATTCACCCAATGAAAATGGAATAGTAGAACGATTCCACTCGACAATCCTTGAACATCTAAGGATATTAAAAGTTGAAAAACGAAATGAGCCAGTGGTCAATTT